TATATATATATATATATATATATATATATATATATAAACAAGTGATCCTTGTGACTCTCTACAACGTCTGTAGCAACTTTATGGGTCCTGCCATCCATGCATCAATGAGAATATCGTATTCCAATTGCCCAGGGTCACAAATTGGAGAGTGCAGAACACTGAAAACTCTTCATGTGTTGAAGGGAATGGATGAAATATTGTGATGTCATCGTTAAGACTCGAACCCCCTGTTCTGACAGTCATGATATTGACATTTTAGCCTTCTCGGTTATAATATGTTCACATCTGCTAGTAACTAAGTGGCTTCATTAGTTGGATCTAGCTGGTGCGATAAAATTCTGGTTGTTTAACCGTATTAGGAGAAAACAGTTAATGAACGGTTTTTTCTCGCAGTAACAGTTTGAATACCGTCTTATTTATGGTTCTTATGTTATAACTCTTATCTAATAATGTCTGTTTTGTTTGAATATGATAAAATAACAATTAAATATTATTTTAATCTTTTTATATATATTTTTAGGATTAACAGTTGGGAAGGATAAAAGTGGAGCTTATATGACTTTACCATCTCCCAATGTGCACACAGCAGATGTAAGTATACTGATAATATTTTTTTTTAAAAAGTGAAAACAACAAAAGTATTGCAAATTATTGTTTAGTTTATTAGTTTGAAGTGTTTTTAGTTCGAAAAGAAAAAGCACAAATCTTGCAATTAAAACATTGATAAAAATGGTTATTTGTTTTTTTTTTCTTTTTTTTTTTTTTGTACTTTAAGTTCTNTTTTTTTTTTTTTTTTTTTTTTTTTTTTTTTTTTTTTTTTTTTGTTGTTTTTTTCTAAAAATGAACGATATTTACGATATGAACTGGTCAATTTTTAAGAACAAATTCATAGGTTTTCAAATAAATCTATTTTTTGAGAACTTGAACATGCTGACTAAGTTAGTTCTTAATCACTTTCAGTACTATAGTACTATGCGCTGTTTAGTAATTGTCATAAAATTACGTTATCTAAGTCTGATTAATATTATGAAGTAATTTAAAATTTATTACTGTGTATTTTATTTTAATAATAGAATTAAATCATCAATTAAATCAAATCCAGAAAATTTACAAAATTCGAATCAAAAAGCTTTGAGATGTAGATAATATGCGTCATTTATCAACCCCATCTATGCATCTAGCATCTAATTTCCACAAGCCTCCATAATCTGTTAATTCGAATAGCAGTTATTATATTCGATTTATTCAAACAAGTTTATCAATGTTTCTTATTAAAACCAACTAATAAAATTTAGTAATTTGTAGTAGTTTATTATTCATGCTATTGATACAAAATTATCAGTTAATCTATTTTAATACTAATACAAAATACAAAATAATATTCGAACATTTGGAAATTAACAAGTTGATAGCAAACATGGTAGTACCAAATTCCTTATTTGTGTCAAATAAAATCCAGTTTATTCTGGTTTATTGATTTAAATCATCTGTTAATTTGAATCAGTGATTCTAGTCTGTTAATTCAAATAAATTGATTCAAGTAAACTTAACGATTGTTTTAAGTATATCGCTTATAGTTATCATCAAGATTATTTGACTTGATTCAACAGTTAATTTGAATCATCTAAATTATTTGATTTTTTTAATTCAAATCACTTTAAAGATTCATTTTTAACTCCACATATTTCCTATATTCTGCAACAATTTATCTATTTAAACACTTTCTTGAAACATGTTTCGACAAGCACAACGTATACAAAAATACAAGGTATTTACAAACAGTAAACAAATAAAACTTAAATTGCACAGTTAAATTCAAAGGGGTGGATAACTGTATAAAAACCCGAATATTTTAATAACTGTATAAAAACACGAATTTTTAGCACATTTTCCTGTAACTTTAAATATTTAAAAATAACTTATTTATTCGTGTGGAACATTGGTTAAATTTTAAATATGATAACAATTTTGATACATAACATTTTCCGAAAAATCAGTTTTTCCAAAAAATCAGGCATTCTAAAAAATCAGACGAATATTCTTCAGACGTTGACCGAGTCGTCTGAATAGAGTCAAAATTACTAGGCAATCTTACACTGGGGAAAAAAAGTGTTTGGAAAACTGCCAAAATATGTTAGAATTTACCGTATTTCTAGCTCTAAGGAAGTGCTTTGGTAATGATTTTGGAAAAATTAACAGTAAAATATTGTTTTATAATATGTGATAAAATTTGGTAAATATGGTAAAATTTAATAATTTTATCAGGATACACTAGAGCATGGTATAAAAACCATTTATCTGATTAAATGTATTCTTCAGTTTTGTATTTTTTGCTAAATACGTGGTAATAAGAAATTGAATTTTGAAAACCGAAATTTCCAGTAAATCGTTGCTATAAGAAAAGAAAAATTACCTACTGAGTGGTTTGGTCATGGCCATGTGGCTTGGTCATGGTTGGGTCATATTTTGATTCCATCGAGTTAACATCGTTGAGTTTCAATATTTATGCTCACGCCGGCCAGGTAGCCGAGTGGTTAGTGTGTCTGGCTGCGAAGTCAATGGCTGTGGGTTCGAATCCCTCTCAGGGCATGGATGTTTGTGTGTTGTCCTCTGTAATGTGATGAGTGAATGTGGCCCACCCTATGAACAGATAGCAGGGTAGCGTGGGTGGTAATGTTGCTCGCCTCCATGACTTTGGTTCACAGGTGCCCACTGAGTCACGATAAATGAGCAACACTTCCGTCATCTGCTAAAAAGTTGAGTGTCAGCCGTTATTTAAAAAAGTATTATTATTATTTACCACTTGTATGTATACACCTATTTTAAAATTCCTTTAACATTATCATTTATATCATAGTTTACAGTACCGCAGTGAACTGATCGTTAGGACACGGTTCCTAGCAGATCACCGAAGTCAAGCATCATTGGCTGCGGTCAGTGTGCGGTTGGGTGACCACTTGGATTAGTCTGAGTAGGGACCGAGGATGTGCGGTATTGGTCCTCGTTAAACTGTTCTACAGTAAAGGGCTCGACTTCGCGTTCAGGTCGTCGGGCTACTGAAGCTGGGATGCCATCCCCTCTGCAGAGCATCAAAATTATGATGGTATGTCTTCGGATCATCCTCTGGGATGTTTCCCAGACCGTCGCCAATAGCCCATTGTGCAGTTCTAGTGCAACGTAAATGAACTACAACAACAACAACATAGTTTACAATTATAATTTAAATATGGTCGTCGGGCTACCGAAGCGGGGGACCATCCCCTCTGCAGAGCATCAAAATTGTGATGGTATGTCTTCGGATCATCCTCAGGGATGTTTCCCAGACCGTCACCAATAGCCCATTTGCAGTTCTAGTGCAACGTAAATGAACTGCAACAACAACATAGTTTGCAATTATAATTTAAATATGGTCGTCAGGCTACCGAAGCGGGGGAGTCATCCCCTCTGCAGAGCATCAAAATTGTGATGGTATGTCTTCGGATCATCCTCGGGGATGTTTCCCAGACTGTCGCCAATAGCCCATTGTGCAGCTCTAGTGCGACGTAAATGAACTGCAACAACAACATAGTTTGCAATTATAATTTAAATATGGTCGTCGGGCTACCGAAGTGGGGGACCATCCCCTCTGCAGAGCATCAAAATTGTGATGGTATGTCTTCGGATCATCCTCGGGGATGTTTCCCAGACTGTCGCCAATAGCCCATTGTGCAGCTCTAGTGCGACGTAAATGAACAAGAACAACAACAATAATTTAAATATTTATAAAAGAGATTTTAAATACATATTTAAAAAACGTCCTGTAGCTTATTTACTAGTTTCTTGTTTATGTTGTTCTGTTTTAATTTTTTTTTCGGCTTATGAAAATTTTTAAACCATCTGTATTAAGCACCTACAAAATAGTATAATAAAATTTTCTCTCCGAATAAATGCTTAGAAAATAAATGTTCCGGAACGATCCAGAAAACCACCATCTCTTTCTTTTCATTTCTGGAACTCACGATGTTCGTGCAACCAAGCTGTACAATCCAATAACTCATCGCATAAAACCAACTTCAATTCATTTCTACTGATTTGTTCCACAGTACGAGTATTACTGACAAACCTGGTATTTGATAGATATCTATTGGATATCGGTATACGATGAGTTCGAGAAAAGGGGGAAAATAGAGAAAATAAAAAAAAACTGCAAAAGGGGAATAAACAGCTTTGTCGAACTATATTCGAAACTTCCTTTTCAAACTGATCGGTAATCTTAAATCCCTTTTTCAAGAAAACGTCCACCTGTCGTTCGAAGTTAAATTTGAAAAATAAAATCCCTTCGTTTTTTTTCTTCTTCTTCTATTGAATAAAAAAGTAATGAAGTCTAGTTTTCAATTTTATTTCGTTATTTTTATCTTTTTTCTATAAAAAAAAAACATTCTTGAAGTTAAACGATTACGATCGAGTTGTTTAAAGTTCTTCTTTTTGGTGGTTGGTTTTAATCTTAGTAGATTTGAATAACTTGTTGCCATACTTTTTATCCGAAATATCGCAATACATAATCTCAACAATTTCTAACTTTTATTAATTCCGTTCCTTACATTTTTTTTGCTTTTAGAAATGTGGAATTTTATTTATAATTCAAGCATTTAAAACTACTTTCAAGTGTTTGTTATATTTTATAAATACTAGTTTTGCATGGAGGGGAAAAGCACGAGAAACTTTTAACAATTCCGTTCCTTAGATTTTTTGCGTTTAAAAATGTGAAGTATTATTTATAATTCAAGAATTTAAAACTACTTTCAAGTGTTTGTTATATTTTAAAAGTACTAGTTTTGAATGGAGAGGAAAACTACGAGAACCTCTCATGGTTAGTCTGACGGCAAGGGGACTCTAACCCATTATGCGTCTACCACTGAGGATATTTTACGTCAGTACTGTGGTCGGTGCCAGCAGGGTGCGGAATTCAAATCCCAGGCATTGCGGGGATCGAAACCGAATCGCCTCGTTTGGAGGCGAGTGCTATACCCCCTGAGACACCGTGGCTCGATATACAACCATTGAAAAAAAGGAAGAATCCACCTATTATGATAATCGAATAATGATCCAATGAAATTGTTACAATACTTACGCTGCAAATGCATTAATCAACCAATTAAAAATGGAAACGTTATTAAATCAGAAATCATTATCATAATGAATCTTTGTCAAATACGAGCTATAAATCTCTATATAACGAAGAAAGAGAATGGTCTGACACAGTGCGATGTGAATATGTTAAAGGTTGTAGAGTTTACATTAATAGTATTTATTTAATTTTAGTTTCATTTTTAAGCGTTCTCTTTCCAGCAATTGAATTTCAATATTATATTACATATTTTAGCTGTCTAGATTGATTTCAAATTCCCTATTAGAACAGAAACTGTTTATCATATAATTTAATCCCATATATATTTTAAATCTAAGGTTTTAAGAAATTTAAACTATATGCTGGCGCCATTGTTCAGTAGCTATAAATCAAATTAAAAATAAAATGAGTTTTTTTTTTCCTCTCTTAGATTTTTGTTATTAACGAAATGAAAGTTGTTACTAGCGATACAGAAATCATAGTT